GTGGCGGGCGCGAGCGGGGCGGCAGCTCCGCAGTGCCGGTAACCTCGCTTGATCAGGAGGCATTGGTGCCGAGCCTGGCCCTGGCACGGGGAGAGCCCCAGCCGATGCAGGGCGAGCTGCGCTCGCAGGACGGCACCAGGAATCGTTGCCTCAACGGTGCCGTGCCCGGATGCGGCAGTGGCGGCGGGACATCCGAGCGGAGCGGCTCCCTGGAGGCCGTGTGCCCCTCGGTGCCGCCTGGGGTGACCTGGGCACCTTGTTGTCTCCGCAGGTCCCCAGAGCAAGGTGTCGCGATGCCAACCCAACGAGCACAACTGCCTGGGCACCGAGCTCTGCATCCCCATGAGCAAGCTCTGCAACGGGCTCCACGACTGCTTCGATGGTTCTGACGAGGGGCCGCACTGCCGCGGTAGGTGCCTGGGGGTCCCCGGGAGTGGCCGTGTCCCCAAGTGTCCCCCAGCCCCTTCCCTTCCGCAGCTGTGGCTGGAGCCTCCAGGCTCTTCCCTGTGTCCGGCTGCACGGGGTGAGTCCTCGTGTGCAGACCCGGCTGTCACAGCAGCGCTTTGCGCCGGAGCGAAGCGTTCCTGGTGCACGTTCCCTCTTTAGGAGCTCCTAGCTTTGGATCCTGGCTTGGGTGGGAGATGCCAGCGGAGAGCCCCATTCCTGGCCTGTCCCTGGCTGCTGATCCCGCTGGGAACTGCTCCCGGCGCCGGATTAGTCGCTCAGAAACGGGTGTCCCGGCTTGACCCCGGAGCAGAGTCCCTGCTGGGGCGAGTGCTGTGCCCCAGCCAGACCCTTTCCTTGCTCCGGGGCAGGTGCCTCAGGCCGTTCCATTGCTGGAGCCTGAATCCGGGCTGGGGACGCCCCATCCAGGGTGTCCGCCCCTGCTCCACCGCTGGACCCAGCCCCTTCCCAGCTGGGCAGCGGTGCCGGCGGCCCCGTCGCTGCCGCAGGTTCAGACACGTTGCAGCCTTAAGCCCCGCCGGCGCCGCACGGATGCCAAGGGCTTGGTGCCGCGATGCCACCTCCCCGGGGAGGCATTTCCTTGCCCCCCGCCCCTGCCTGAGGCTCAGGGAGCCGGGCTGCTAATCCGGCTTGGAGCAGGATTATCCAGCCTCTAACGGCCCTAATCGTGCAAAGCACGAGGTGAGAAACATGTGCCCTCAGCTTAGCGTGCCTTGGCTCCCAGTGCCGCCTGCGTCCAGCAAAGACCCCCGTTGCGGGCAGATGGCAGCGGCACAGGGGGCTGAGCGGTGTTGGGAGGATCCTGGTGTGCCGGGATGCTCCGTACCAGGATGCTCCGTGTGTCCCAAGTCCGTGGACGGGCGAGGGTGGCAGGAGCGTCCCGCGCATCCCGCGTCGTCTGCGGCTCCGCGGGCGCCCCCCCCGCCCTCCGCGGGCCGCCCTGGCGGGGCAGGGCAGCTGGGAGAAAATAAACCCCGACAAAACACCCCGAACAAAGGGCCTTTTGTGGGCGGCCGGCGGCGCTGGCAACAGTGCCGTGCGTCCCCGTGTCCCGCTGCAGCCGCCCTCCCGTTCGGGGTGGCCCTGCGTGGATGGACCACGTGCCCTCTGGTCCCCTTCACCCCAACGAGGCTGCTGCCAAACGACCTGAGTGGAGCCGTGGGCCGAGCAGGGGGGCACCAGGGCATCGTCGTGCCCGGGCTGCCCTGCGGGGCTGTCGTGCGCCCCGGTGACGTGTCCCGCTTTGCCTCCCGTCTCTGCAGAGCAGCTCGCGAACTGCACGGCCCTGGGCTGCCAGCACCACTGCGTGCCCACGCTGAGCGGACCCGCCTGTTACTGCAACGGCTCCTTCCAGCTGGCCGAGGACCGCAGGAGCTGCAAGGGTGGGTGCGGGCACATGCAGCCCCCGAGGCCTCCTCTGCGGGGCGGGAGGCAGGGGATGGGCAGGGAATGGGGTGCTGCCCCCCTCGCCGGGCTTCCTCGCCCCATTGCACGGTACCAGCGAAGGAAGGAGGTGGCACAGGGGCCACGGCTGGGCTTGTCCCAGCGGCAAGGACGATCCTGGAATAGGAAAGGGCTCAGGAAGGAGTGATGGGATCGAAGCGGCGTCTCGAAGCGGGCGTTCCAGTGAGAGATTTCAGACCTTGTTCTTTCATTCGTGTGAGGAGAGGTGAGAGGGGACTTTACTGGCTCTTACGTGCACCTCTGGGGGTAAGAGCCTTCTGATGGAGGCAGCTCTTTCATCTAGTAGAAGAAAGAGCAGCATGAGCCAGAGCTTTGGAAGCTGAAGATTAGAGAAATTCACTCTAGAAATTTAGGGGCAGGTTTTCCAGAGTTGGGGAAGCAGCAGTGAATAATTAGGCCCTCAAATGGCTCAGCTGGGAGGATGGCATCTTCCTTCGCTTCCTTTCTGTGGGTGATGCTCTCCGCGTGTCGTGACACTGTCACCGTGGCCTCAGAGGGTCCCTGAACGTGCCCGGGAGCCCATCCTTCCTCGCAGCCCTGGGGAGCAGGGGTGCTCTTTGCTCCCTTGCGAGTCCCTTGAGGACAGAGGTGCTCGCAGGTGCAAGTCTCGTTTTCTTGCCGCCTTCCCCAGACTTTGATGAATGCACCATCTACGGGACCTGCAGCCAGACGTGCACCAACACGGAGGGTTCCTACACGTGCAGCTGTGTCGAGGGGTACCTCTTGCAGCCTGATAACAGATCCTGCAAGGCCAAAAACGGTGAGTTCCTGCGCTAGGCAAGTTGCTTCTGAGCAGCTCCAGGGCATGCAACCTGCCTGGGTCCCCCTGCCTCCCAGTTCTTAGTTTTAAGGTGGTCTTCCAAGCGCTGTCCTGGGGCACCATGTTGTCTTGGCAGGGTGTCCCCATGCTGTTTTGCTGAAGGAGGACCGGGCCAGGGGGCTCATGAGGTATCGCGGCCACCAGCGTCAGCTCCTGTCGTGACCCTTCTGCTCCCTTCCCTCTCAGAGCCGGTGGATCGCCCACCCGTGCTGCTCATCGCCAACTCCCAGAACATCCTGGCCACCTACCTGAGCGGAGCCCCCGTGCCCAACATCACCCCCACCAGTGCCAAGCAGACCACGGCCATGGACTTCAACTACGTGGAAGACACCGTGTGCTGGGTCCACGTGGGAGACAGCGCCTCGCAGACCATCCTCAAGTGTGCCAAGATCCCCAACCTCAAGGGCTTCGTGGAAGAGCGCTCCATCAACATCTCCCTCAGCCTGCACCGTGAGTTCTGCTCCCGCAGAGCCGGTCCCAGTCCCATCTGTCCCTTTGTAGCGGGGCTGGTGGTGGCCGAGCAGGGCTGCCCTTCGGTGCGCGGTGGCTTCCCTCGGTGGTGGATGCCTTCAGCTCCAGCATGGCTGTTTCTGCCTTGTTCTAGTTTTAGCTTTCACCCTTCCTTTTCCACTCCTCATGTTATTTCTAGTTAGTCTTGTGGTTTCTCTGGGTGTGTTTGAGGAAACCGGTGCAGTGAAGAGCAGAGATAACACCTGTGCAGCGGTGAGGGCGAGAGCTCTTGCTGGTGTTTTCCCCCTTGAGTTTAGCCCTTTGGCCCTCTTGTTGAAGGTGATTTTGGTTCCCCACCGTCAGCAGTGAATCAAGAGCAAAATCCCACCAAAACGGGCCTCCCACCAGGGAACACCTGGTTTTGTCCTGTTCCTGCCTCCCTGGCTATAACGAGCGTGGTTACAGCACGGCCTCCAGTTTGGGCTCGCTGGTCCGGGTTAAGCCCTTGGAAAGGGGATAGAAAGCTGCATCCCGGGGTTTTGGCGTGCTCCGGCTCGGGTGCTGGGATGGCACTAGGGGAAGCAGTGAGATCGGAGGGAAGCGCAAGGACCCTCCAGTGCGGAGTGGCTCGCGGCCGGCACGCGGCCCGCCGAGGGCGGGTGCCGCTCGGCTAATTTGAGCTTGCGCTGTGTATTTTTAGGGCAGTGTGTATTTATAGGGAGAGGCCTCGCCGCTCCTGGAGGCGATAGCCTGAAATTAGGCAGTGCAGGGCTGGGCTCCGCTTTGTTTTCCCCACTCAATGGCTTTGCATGTTCTCCCTTCCTGCTTTAAGGCGCCCTCAGGTTTAGCATGGGGCTGTCCGGCCTCGGTTCCCTCCCAGCCGCGGTTCTTGGGCCGGTGCTGCCTCCTCGGAGCGCTCGGCTCTGGGGTCCCCTTGTCCTGGGAAGCCCTGGGCAGGTCAGCAGGGAGGCTGGGGCTCCGGAGGTTGCTTTGACCAGGCGCACACGGTGCTTGGGAGATGGGACAGGACGAGGACCCAGAGCACCAGCTCGGACACCCGCAGGAGATCTTCTGCCTGGCGGGCTTTTTGGGGCAATTTTCTCAGCTGTTCTAGCTCCAGGAAGTTAATCTTTTGAGACGTGACCTTATAATTATGGTCAAGCGGGGAAGGGAGCTCGTAACAGCGCCGTGTTCAAGTCCAAACAAGAGAAGGAGCCTCGCGCGGCTGCGCTTCCTGATGCGTTGTGACAGCGCGGGGTGGGAAGGGCAGAATTCAGCTCCTCTGGGTTGGAAAGCGCCTGCCTGTGTCCTGGGATGGAGGAAACTGTCCCCTGTGAGGGGACAAGCCTCCCCATGCTGCTGGAGGTGCGTCCGAGACAGCTCCCCCCATCGTCTCCGCTGGTTTTTCCATGACCTCCCAGCGCCAGGATGGAGCGGCCGGCCCTGGCTTCCCCGAGCGCGGCTCGGCTGTGGCTCCTGGTTGTCATTTGTGTCTGTCTGCGGTGCAGAAGGGCTGGGAACAGGGCTGCCCCCAGCCAGTTTGAGGGTTGTTTTTTCAGAAATGATCCTTGTGCCGTATCTGCTATTGCTGGGAATGGCCCTGGACCCTTGGGGCTCCCAACCTGCGGGGACAAGTGGTCAAAGAGCAAAGCTCATTCTTGGTGCAAACAGGCTTGGGAAATGGCTTCTGCAATCGTGGGTCCAGCACGGGGCCCTGGTGAGGAGATAACGTTGGTCCCGCTGCGGAGAGCCCTGCAAATCCCACTGGGATTTGTGCACCCTCCTGGCACTGATCTCCGGCCGGGTGCCCTGGTGCCGGCTGCTGACGGGCCTGGAGGTGGCATCTGATGGGGAAACACTGGAGCTCCAGGGCTGGACATCAGCAGCCTCCAGCTGTCACCAGCGGCTCTGGGACGGTGACATGCTGCAGCCCTGTCCCCCTTGCTGTGGTCCTTGTCCCTGGCCTTTCTGTCTCCTGCTGCAGGCTCTGCTGCTGGCAGAGCCCTGAGCTTGGGGACCTCCTGCTCTCCCAAGCCGTGGGTTTTGGTGCCACCAGGGGCTTGCTGCCCCGGTCCCTGTCCGGGCATCTTTGTGCATCAGCTGCCGCTATCCCCATCGCCCCGTGGGAGCGCTGAGCGCCAGCACGAGCTGTGAGGCCGAGCAGGAGCTTTTGCAACCATCAGGTCTGTCCTCCCCAGTGCTGCCTGCGTCAGGGCTGGGCCGTGACTCACTTGCCCGTGGGATGGGTTTGTCCTTCCTGCAAACGTGAAGCTGCAGAAAAGGGAAGTGGGGTCGTCTTTCCCCCTTTCCATTTTCTCTCTCTCTTCTTTCCCGTTTCCTCCGCTGCGGGTGAAAGTTCCCCTCCTGTTTCTAATCAGGCCCGTCCTGGCAGGCCCTGAGCGGCGGCTTGCGGTGGAGGACGGGTAGGGGAGCGCGCGTGGCGAGAGCGGCTCCCCCGCAGCCTGGGCGGCCCCACACTGCGCATGGGCCCCCTTTGCCCCAGGCCCCTTTGCCCCAGGCCCCTTTGCACGGGCCCTGGTGGCTCTTTCCAAGCCCAGCCACAACGGGTGCTGCTCGCCCGGACAGGGCCACCTTGCCGGGAGCTGCTCCAGGCCATCCCCATCCAGGGGCTCCTCTTGCAACGGCCTTCACGTGCATGCCGGGACAATGTTCGCATTTGTTTCGAGGATCCAAAGGATCTGGGAGCGAAGCAAACCCTGAGCAATCTGCTTTGGGGCTCTTAGGCCGCTCAAGCCTCTCGGCGCAGCAGGGCTGGCTCCGGAGGCCCCTCGTTAATGCTCGCTCTGTGCTCCGGCCGCGCGCTCCGCGGCTAGCGCTCGCCTCCGCATTCCTCGGGCACAAACTGTGCTCTGACGTCCTGGCCAAGGCGCGCGCGGATTATTTATTTGCACCGGGCCGGCCTCGGCTCTGGGCTCGCCTGCTGCGAGCGCAGGGCTCGGGCTGGCGCTCCGGTCCCCCGCCCAGCCCCGCCCGGAGCCGCCCGCCGGGGAGGCTCGGCCGCGGGCAGCGCCGGGCAGCAGCGCTCTGCCTTCGCTATGGAAAATTACCCACGAGCGCGCGGCGGGAGCACCACGTTCCTCAAGGGGCCCCGCGGTGCTTCTCTCCCCGCCTGCTCTTCCCCCCGCTTCTTTTTTTTTCCCCTTTCTGGGACAACTCGTGACTGCTGCGCGCTCGCCGCGGTGGCTCTGCCGCTCTGGGGCTGGTTTTGCTGACCGCGGGTTTGTGCCAGCAGATTGCGGGTGTCCACGCGCTCAACCCTTTGCCCCGGGCTCTAGGTATCCAGATTTGTTTTCCTTCCTAAGACGGTGGCGTTCAGAAGGGCCTCAAGCACCTTCTCAAGGAGCGAGACCTCCTGTGGCCCCAGGAGTGGAGCATGGCTGGGGCCGGCACCTCACTCCGGGATGGGACCTACCAGGAGCCCTGGGAAAGACTGCAGAGTTTCCCTGATTTATTATTTCTTGCTTTAAGGTTTGTTCTTTCCCTGTTTTCTTTCATAAAACAAGCCCCCAGGAAGCAGTCTGGCGCACCGTGGCACGCAATGCCGAGTGCATTACAAACCTTCAACGACAGCAATCTGGCCATTATTAAAATCCCTTCCCAGGCAGCGTCCATGTAAACCAGCCCATCCAGGAGGCTCTTTGCCTGGATTCTGCTTCAGCCTCTGTGCACGTAATGACCTGCTCTGCTCCCAGCAAATAGAAACCTGGAGGGTTTGGGGCAAATTGATTTCAGGGAGATGCTGCTCTGCAGAGAAAATCAAGTGCGTTTCTTTCCCTGCTTTGCATGGAAAGCTATTTTCTTCCCTGCTGCCTCATTGTAGCCAAGAAAGAGGCTCCAACGTGAACTCACTTGGCAGCGGAGCAGGGTGATGGTAACTTCATCTGCTGATTCCTTTCTTTTTGTTTAACTGTTTGGCTGTTCTCATACCAGTGGCTCCTAAGAGCACAACACACGATTCTTCCTCCCCCTGCTTCATCTCCCACTGGGTCAAGGCTGGAGCGCTTGGTCGGAGCAGCGCTCGGCAGAGCCGATCGGCCCGTTAGCAAGGGCGCTGATGCACTCATGCACTGTTGTGCATGCTTGTGTGCGGCTGTGCACGCTTGTGCATGGTCGTGCAGCATCATGCACCGTTGTGTGCGCTCGTGCACCGTTGTGCATGCTTGTGTGCGGCTGTGCATGCTTGTGCATGGTTGTGCACCATCATGCACACTCATGTGCTGTCATGCACCATTGTGCACACCTGTGCGTGGCTGTGCACGCCTGTGCATGGTCGGGCACCGTCATGCACACTTGTGTGCGGTTGCGCACGCTGATGAAGCCTCCCAGATGGCAGCAGGGAGCAGCCAACGTGCCCAACCCCTGGACTTGCTCTGTCTTCGCACCCTGTCCTTCCCAAGAGACCCCTTCCCGCTCACGGCTCCCTCGGCTCTCACCACCCTTTGAACGTGTCCGTCCCTTGTCCCTCCATCCAGGGAGAGCCCAGCCTGGGCCCTGCTGGGCTCCTGGCTGGGCCTCATTAAGGAAGAGCAATTAGCAGTTCCTTGGCCGTCCTCCACGCCGGGTTGGGGCCCCGGAGCAGCAGAGGGGGCTGAGGAAAGTGCCTGATCCCGGCAACCCCGAGGCTGGGACCCATCCGCAGTCGTCTGGGGCCACATCGGGCTCGTGCCCGCCCACCCTGACGCCTCTCTTGGGATGTGGCCGTGTGGCCCAGGGATGGAGGGACGGTCCCACTGCTCTCCGTGCGCAGGCACCCGCCATGGCAGCGCGGCCACCGCTCAGCGCCTTTAAAAGAGCCCGGCGCCGGGTGGCTCTGCTGGAATTTCCCTCTCGCGCTGGCCCCGCGCGCGGCTCCGCAGCGCCTGGACACGTGCCCGGCGGCCGCGCTCCACTGGGAGCGATGGGCTTGGGGCGCCCCAGCCACCCCCTGCTCTTGCCCCCACCTGAACAACTTGCGGGAGGATCTTCTCAAATCCCTTATT